CGGAGTTTTAATATTATTTTCTTTTTCTTGGACGGTTACAATTACCGTGATAATAAAAAATGATTCCTCCATCTTATGGTAAGTTGCATTATTTTATGGCATTATTATTTTGGTATTTGTTCACTGACTAATATATTATTCGAATTATTCGCCAGGGAAAACTAGTATGTGTGCTACGGTAAAAAATAATAAAACTCTATTCGACACCTTGAAAATATACTCGGTACATTTAATGCTAAAGTACCGAATTACCAATCATGTAAGAAAAACAAGAATTCAAGTCTTATTAAAAAAAAAAAAGATATAGGCTTGAAGCATCTCACAGTTGATTTTTAAATAATATCTAAAATTTAAAATTCAGTCTTGTAGTTTTTTCTTTGTTTTATAAGTTTAGTTAAGAAAACCTATTCCTTCCACGATTTATGAGAAAAAATGATGAAATGACAAAAGGATATCTTAGGTTTTTCTCTACAAATTTTAGGTCCAAAAGTCATTACAAATTAAAAATTGAGTTTTAAAAAACGATATCCTTAAATTAATACAAAAAGCATACTTTACGATTATTATACAATATTATATTCCTACAAACGAATTCGCAATATATTAAAAAATAAAAACTTAAAACAAAACTAAAAAAAAATTACTAACACCAAAATTATTTCGAGAATTAACCTTCAAATATTATGAATCTTAAAGAATGCAAGCAATAGTTTAACGGCTATATTCGTTCTAGGTTTCGAAATCTTGGTTAGTTAGATTCCATATTCAAGGTTCTTAAACACGGGAAGAAAATACCAGAAACAAAACTAGACAAAATATGTAAATTAGTTTCATAGTTAAAACGGAAACCGAAATACACCTGAGCTATGAATATAATACATGAAATAAACAATAATCGTATACATGCACTTTCGAACATGACAAATATTTAACACAAAATAAAATATGTTACTGGTCGAAATAAATGTTAAACATTCTGTATCATTAGCAGACACAACATATGATCCCCCCTTTTTTTTTAATGTATTAAATTATATGAAAAACGCTGCAAATTATTTTACAATGGTTTATTATTTTCAAACAATTATACATCTAAAGTAACATTACCTTCCTTTCAACAAAGAAAAAGAAATAAAAGATGATTCCTATTACTGGGCTACACAACTTATTTTTTCATCATTAGTAATTTGCTAATAAAAAATAACATTAATTCAGGAACACTTTCAAAAATCAAAAACCAAAACAAAAGATGTAGCCACTGCAGTAGAACATACAAAACATATCTAGAGACCATATGTTTCCTCTAAATTGTCCGATTTTTTATTTTATTTTAAGTGAATATCGTAAACTTCTAAAACAATATCAACAAAAAAGTGTATACTTTTTGAATTATTCAGAATCTAATTTTACCATCCCTCGTAACTTTTTTCCCAACTTTTTTAAGCTGAAGTATGATATATAAATAAATTTAAAGGGCATAGAGAAGACAAAAGTCTAAAGCAACACAAGTTTTTCGGCTGCCATCTTTAAAGAAAAGGTGGATAGTAATGCCGATGTAGGAGGATCATCCTCGGGTGAACTCTGGCTTTAAATCAAAAAATTTTTTCTTCGATTTTCGAATTCTACGGATCCTGAAACGTAAAACCTCAAATTTTGAAGGGGGGGTTAAGTTTTTGAATTTTTTGTTAGATTACAATGGTTCATTATTGATAATAAACCAAACCAATATCAATAAGATTTCCAATATCAAAAGCAAGGAAGAGAAAATTATATTATGAAATTTTTGACACGTTTTCTTGAAGAGTTCAGTGGAGCCGAGATAGGAAAATTCTCCAAATTAATTTTTTTTATAATAAGTTGTAGTTGTAAATGTATGAAATCATTTAGAAAAAAAGTATTTCAGTTTGTATTTATTTTTTTTTAATTATTGAGATTAACTTCAACTACAAGAAGTGATCTATCTGTCTTCCTACGGTCTATGATTGTTATTTTCTAATAGGTCAAATACTTAATATTATAGTGTTAATATCTTTACCGTATTCTACGGCATTTGGTTTATGCCTATTACGGAAGTTGATAAATCCAAATTAGATACTATTGATTCTAAAACAATTTTTCATTTATATTTTTATGGTTAAACAAAAAAATCAACTACCGTACCACTACAATACATGGAAGGATTTTTTGTTCTGTAAATTGCAAGAAAGTAGTTTGTAGACCAACGGTTATACCAGGTGCTTTGACCGACATCACTCTCAATCACCAGGTTTTTTCTTTGAAATAATTAATTATAGTACCCACTTTAAAGAGATTGAGTGTGCCACAGGATGATCTACCGACCGCAGGGTCTATCCAGGGGTGATTAAAAAAATAAATAATTAGCCAGACTAGAACCTGTGCCCTTGTGAACAGGAACAGAGTGCCTTACTTACTGAGCTGTACCGCTACACATTTTTATTTTTTACACATTAAGAAAATTTCACAATCGGTTGAGATATGTATTCCTGAACTGTATACAATTGGTAGATGATTATTTTCTCATAATAAGGATGAGGAGAAATCTCTTAATTTAACCTAAGTTTTGTCGTACAACACTAATTATCAGCTGGATCTTTTGGATACTATTTACCTACTAGATTCTATTGGCGTAAAACAAGAAACAAAAGTAGACTTTGAGGGAACAAAAAGTGTGATCTAACAACATTCCATTCTACGCCATTTTCTCAAAGTAAACTAACTGAAGGTAAAAATTGAATCAGATCACAGATTACTCAATAATCCCAGGGGTGGCAAAGAAATCACGAAATTTTTAGATATAAATAGATTTGTTTCTCTATTAATAATTCTATTTCAATATATTTTTTTTATGTTCAGTTTCTACTTTTATAATCACTCAATTTTTGCTCTAAATTAACTAAGTTTCACAATAGATTGGCTGTCCTCATTTGATCGATGATTCATTCTTCAGTTGATCCTGTTTAGTATTTTTGAGTTTTACTTGCTTGTACCAAAGTGAGGTATCAAGACTCGTCTTAGCTCGTTAGTTAATTTGTCGTTTGTGATGTTGGTTTTTGTTAAGTACAAAAATCATATTGTCGATGAATAGGCTGTAAAGTATTAGTGGTTTGCCACTATTTTAGGACTGCAGGCTTTGGGTAGAAAAACGTTTGGAAAAATGTCCAAGTTCGTGTAGTTCTTCGGTTGAACTCAGATATAATCTTTAAAAATTTGATAATTGAGTTTAAGTGATATCTTCTGAAATTCAATAAAGGATATTAAAATTTAAAACAATAAGGTATTGTCATTTCCAAAACAAATTCACTATTCCATAAATATCTCTATCTTACTGTGTTGGGTGTAACTAAACGGTGGTTCCCAGAAACCTACCAACTACATGTTTTTTTTTTTTAATTTGCGTTTTTCAACTTGTGGTATGTCGAGAATTTCTCAACAAATTGCCCAAATATACCAAGTGATGAGTGTTGCCCAAATGCGAGTCTTGGTCTTGCACACTAAGTCTTGGTCGTGGTCTTGGGGCTTGCGCAAGAATCTCGCAACAGTATTGCAGTTAGCTATTAGCTTGTAATTATAGAGGTACTACTGACATTTTTTAGATAGGAGAAACCTAACTAAGCCAGAAAGAAAAATATAAGAGTTAAATGCTAAAGAATATTGGCTATACCAATTCTTTACATACAGTAACAAATTGTCAAGTATTAATAACTATTTACCTTAATTTTTATTCAAAAAATCTATTTTTTTTTACAAACCTTGGTCTTGGTCTTACAACAGTTAGGCGGTCTTAGTCTTGCAAAGTGCAAGATCAAGACCGATTTTGGGCAACACTACAAATGATTAACGACAACAGCTGTCCATTACCTCATTAATGTCATCCATGACCAGATTAACATTAATAGATAATATAATTCTATTGTCATACGTTAGAAATAAAAAAAGGGAATATATAATATTTAAAAAAATTAAATATAATATAAGAAACTTTCACTACGAACAATATAAAATGTTCCTTTAATATTAACTTAATTATAAACAGAATATGTACATGAGTATTACAAACAAGAAGATATATAAAAAAAGGTCAAAATAATTAAAATTAATAACTTAACCTATCTATGTCCAGTTCAGCAGCAGATACAATTGGCTATTATATCTCGATTTAATGGTGTTGTAAAAAAATGTAGACATCAATCTATCTACCCCAACGTCTAGATGATAGAGTATGACCGTGAACGTGAGAACATCCAATTTTATCATTGGTAGACTAGATCCAAAATGCGAGATAATCCCCGGTAGACTTTGTCCAAAATATGAGATTATATCCGATATGATACGACAGAAAGCCTCTCCTTGGACTTTTCATGCGATTTTCTTTGGTATTACCAATCGCAGTACGGTATCACAAAATAGGTACGCTACGCAAGAACGAAGACAAGTGACTCTTCACAGTCACCTGTTACATAAATAGCCGTTGCCATGGGTTGCCATGTTACACTGTTTACATTTTAGATCACGGCTACATGATATCTTTCCATCAATCAAATAAAATAATGCATAAAGTGATTCAAATACCTTAGCTTTAAAAATAAAATAATAATAATCAGGAGGCAAAGTTTCTGCATTATACCGTTCACTTAATGAATAGTTGAATGTAAAATATTTTTCGAATTAATAATTTCGTTATTTTCGTTGATTTTTTTTCTAACCATGCAGTTGTTTCTCAATAAGTGAATACCTATTCCTGTCATAAATATTGTTACAAAGAAATATATATAATTTAAACAGAAAAATTAAATTTTCAAAAACTTTATTAGAAAATAAAATGTATATCTATAGAGAGTAAATCAAAAAATAAATTACTCAAAATGTCTCCCTTTTGCCTTGAAATTTGATATACATTACCAGTCATCAATAGCAGCAGGCAGCACTTCTTGAGGAAAGCGCTGAACTGCTCGGACCAGAGATTCTTTGAGGCTTCCAAGTTAGGGTGTGCTCTGTGGCATGCCATCCTCTACAGTTCGGACCAAAGCCGATAATCTAGTGGGTTGAGATGAGGTCATCCTGAGGGCCAATCCACGGCAGAGATGAACTCTGGAATGTTCTTCTGCAGCCTCTGCTGAGTTGACCTGGCATTGTGAACTGGAGCAGAATCCTGCTGCATAACCCATTGACTTCCAGCAAATAGAGTATCATTTAGTGGCTTGACAACAGGTTCCAAAATATCGTCCTGATTTATTAGCGACTGTTTTAACTTCTTTTTCACAAAAATGTTGTTTTTGTTGTGCCGTCAATTAGTGTTGAATTCAATTGAATTCCCATCAAATACGAATACACGAACATACGGCTGATATCCATAGGTTTCAAAGTGTTGAAAATTTCTGACCTACATTTTCTAACTTTGTGTAAGCCGATCACAGCTATTCGGTTTTCTTTATCACCCCATTCCATGTTATCTGAGCGAAAGAAATATACAAACTAATAGGGATTATTATTCTGACATGTAAAGAAAATAATCTGATAGAGGTAAGGATTATCTAAATAATACCCAAGGATGTAAACAAAGTTCAACTTTTATATCAGTATTTATAGCAGAACTAGGTACCCTTATCAATAAATTACATTTATGAACTTGTCATGAAACGACGTTTCAAGTCTTTTGCCATATTTTTTAGTTATATGGAGATAAAACTTAAATATTAGGAAGTGAATTACTGTAATTAAGAAATAAATAAAACCTAACTGCAAGGGACGTGTCCAAGATTGATCATGAACTCATGAGTATCTAATGACAAAGGGGACACCCCCTCAGTGTCTCTGCTGCGTGGTCAATTTAGGCACATCTTGATATATATCATATCAATCACAACGAAATGAAGTGGAATTGGAGAATAATATTATTGAAGTTTTGAAAAACAACAACAAAATGACAAACAAAAATTATTTCTATTTCTTGAAATAACGCAACTATTTAAAAAAAAATAATATTTTAAATATTTCCTACTTTCAAATTTATTGTTAAATTGAATCTTGTATAATATAAATACTGTATAAGGACTAAAATGACCCGTAAGATGTTGAGGAGCTCTGCTTTGCTAGAAATAAATCAATAATTTAATCTAGGTTAATTTTTTACATCACAGAAGCTAAGTATCACAGAAATTACTCAGCAAAGATTTTTTGAAAGTTTATTAAATTGAGACAAACAAATTTCTTACAGTTATCAATTTCTTGATATGAATAAATTTCATTTCCAAATAACTGTAAAATGAGCCAATAGCCTCATTTCTTGATGCATTAATAAATGGATTAAATTTGATTAGGGTATCTAATCCTTAAAAAAATCCTATCATATTTTTGCTAGGATTAGGCTGCAAAAGAACATTCCAGAGTTCATCTCTGCCGTGGATTGGCCCTCAGGATGACTTCATCGTTTGTTTATTCTATTTAAAAAATAAATAAATAAACATTATTAAAGTGCACCTTGGTATCCTGGGAACAACCACTATTTTATTACATCATGTACGGCCTACAAAGATAAGAGGTCTAGGTAGCTAGCTACACCTTGAGGCCAGCAGGTGCTGAAGTGGCTGATGCAAGGCCAAGGAACTGCAGGTAAGGAGGACCTCGACTTACCCAACTCTCACTCGTCACATTCTTCACAGATTTTGGGGAGCAGTTGCATCAGCTCTTTCACACCAAACTAGTTCACGCGGAGCGGATAGAAAGGAGATAGGAACTCTTCCACTGGACTTACACATTTTCAAAAAATAAAACTAACAAATAATAAATTATGTAATATATGATCAATCACGAGGTGATTGTGATCAATCACAATAACGTTCGAAGTGAAAACTTTTTTAGCATTTTTTTTTGTGGGTAGTGAATGAGACTGGTCCTTCAAGCTCGGCTATCATTCGGGTAAAGTCGGCTCGAGTCGACCAAGTTTTGCATTGGTTTAAAATATAATTCGGACCTGCATACTGTAAGCGAGGCAAGTGTGCAGCAATCCACCATCTTTGTAAAGAAAATTGTGTAACTATAATTAAAAATTATATTTTGTTTATTTTCACGTGACGCCGAATTATAGAGTCGGAAAGGGAAAAAAGATGGCTACAAAAAAATCAAATAAAAACTCGTTATCATTTTGTTTTTGACACTATCCTTTTCTTTGAGTTCCTCTCTACCGCGACGCCGATTCTGGATTTAATTTTGGCTAATAGCTTACTACAAAGAATAATTTACCAGAGAAATTTATACACAATTGTAATTGCATATTTTGTAAACGTAATTACTTTGTGAATATAGAACCAAAAATAGTTTATGCACAATTACAATTGAATATATTGTAAATTTTATTACTTTCTGAATATAAAAAAACAAAACAATATAAATCCTGCCTGGCTATTTTTATCACTTCTATTCTGTGTCTTAAGCACACAATGTAGTTTATTTAATTTTTTTTTTACGATTAGAGAGATGTTGTTATACCTTAAGTACAGGAGATGTGTTGAACATGTGAATGTGCTCTTTACTCTTTGTAATATGAAACTGAGGAAGGTCATTTTGCATTTTTTCGCTATCTGTCTAGCATTGATATTTTGAAATGTTTCTATATTTTAAAGGTAAATTTTAGTAAAAAACATTAATTTTGTCACACATAAATACAGATAGATTCCTATGACCGAGATCTGTGAGAAAAACACAGTTTTATAACTACATTAGATGAGAAATCATTATTTTTAAATTATTTATTTCTATAATAAAATTTGTTTTTACGCAATTACGTTTATTACAATCTCATATTACGGAAAAAGAAGAAATAAAAGTTTTGCAACAGTTAATTTTAGTCATTTTGCTGAAAACGCGGGTACTGTTAAGTGACTGAATAGAAAATCACATCATTTCTTTACACAACATGAGGCAAATCTCAATTTTTTTTCTTCAAATAAACCTTATCTTAATTAATATGGACTAACAGCATATTAAACGAGGAAGTTATTCTAAAAGTGTGTTAACTGTAGTAAAGTTAAAGGTGATAAAAAAAAAATCACAAATAATTTGTGACATTTTTTTAAACGGAACTTAGTGAATTTGTCCGCTTAATAGCCCTCTTTCTTTAAATGGTTTTAACAATGACAACCTCTAATTTCGTTTGAAGTATTTTTTTTTCTAGTTTTTACTATCGAGCAATGTTTATTTCCTTAAATAAAATGTTTTTTTAGTTGTCGCTCCCGTTTCAACAATAAACGTGACTTAAAAACACAAATCTTAAATTTCTTCCTGTTCTTCTCAAACTCGCCTTTTATGCTATACGGGATTTTCCCCGACCGGAAGGTGAGGGCGGGGAATTTTTAAATCCCCTCTGGCACCGGGACGCGAACTTGTACTTGTTTTTCAATCGCAAAACTTGGTTATCTGGTTGCCGGGTAACTCGCGGTGCTGTGCACACACGTTAGCCCATTCGGCCACCCTCTCCCCCCCTCCCCAAAATCTTAAATGTCTTACTATTCTAATGGAAATTGTTTATATGAACTTTTTTTGTAGATCTTGATATCTACCATCAACCTTTTAAATATTTCCCTCTACTTACGGGAGATCCTGTATATAAAATAAACAAAGCTTTCTGGCTAAAGCCTCCACCCCTTCTTCCCCCCAAAAAATTAAACCCTGGATCGGTAAGTGGCTGACGGCTAGGCTAGGCAGAGACAGAGGCCCTTGGGATGGGAAGGGGGTCAGGACGGCTATAAGAGTTTCTTCACCGGCCGGCCGGGGGCTAAATATAAGGAACTGTTCTTCACCGGCACTTGACTCCGGTCACGTAGACCTCAGTACTCGGAACGGAGAAAATAGTGTGCCCCGCTCTCAATTATATTTCAAGGATTCGGGGGAAATTCCCAGCTGACGCACGGGAGATAATTTCCTAATAGTCCGCTGAATGAAAACTTGGTAATATCTAAAATGCTGATCATTAACCTCTTTAAAATTACAAGAACGGGGATAGACAATGAACCATTGAGGAGTACAAAGAAAAGGCAATCTCATGATTATAATTTTAAATTGCAACGAAGATGTTTTAAATGAACTGGTCAAGATATTTTTTTTTTTATATTCCTTTTTTTTAACCTACTTTTCAGAAATGACTGAAATTGGTCGTTCAGTTTCCTTACAGTGTAAATGGTAAAGTTACATATATTTTTACAGCTTGTTAAATTTTTTTTCCCAATAACATTAACAATGAAACAATGAAGCTAATATATTTAATTAAATGAAAAAAAAAAATATCCGTACCGAATAAAAAAGTTAATCGAAACCCCCTCACTCAGAATCATTAAAACAAACATGTTAAACTAAAATGCAATTGGAAAAGCTAGTGTTAAATAATATACCGGTATGGTATTTCTTTTAACGTAGGTGGAAAACATGCGCATACTATTATGACAAATGTATTCAAAAGAAGGGGCAAATGTATGATAGGACACGTTTGGTCAATACGTGAGCCCCAACCAGTCTGGGTTCGGTATAAATATAGAAAATAATAAATACTTGTATAAAGGGTTAGTACCCTCATCTTTAACTTTAACGATAATCCTTTCATGGTTGTATGCTTATTATTTAAAAACATATAAATATTTGAGCTAAACAAATTCTATTTGATTTTAAATTCGAGTTTGTTACCACTAAAATTAAAAGTAATCATCAGAAAAGAGTGTTTCACCTAACAGTTTGTGTGGCCCAGCTTTTGTAAAAGTTTTACATTTATCTATAATTAAAAATAAATCTTAAAACTCCGACCTGAAATAAACCGAAGCACATTCATAAAGCACACAACAAATCTATTACATATCAATTCTATAATATATGTAATTTTATCTATATTTTTTTTTTAATGTGACTTTAGAAGTTAAAAAAAAACATTGTAGCCAAAACTTCCGAAAGGTTATTTACTCGTATAACAATTTGTGAAGTAAACTTTATTCTGGGACATTTATATTTTTATTTTACAGTTTACATTAATAGTAAGTTTCCTTAACCTACAGTGCTTGAATGGCTTCTTTCCATAATTTCCTATCGAAGATCCATTTTTTTGGTAGACCATGACCCACCATTGATTCCTCTATTTCGTTATAACAGGTCTTCCTCGTCTTCTTCTTCTAGTTGGCCATAAGCGGACTTCTTTCGGTAGTGTTCCTTCATGCATTCTTTTCAAATGTTTATACCACTTCAGGCATTTTTTTTCTATCTCTTCCATAATGGTTCTTTTAGCCTCCATTTTTTCTCTGATAGTCATATTTCTCATTTTATCCATTCTGGATATTTCCGCCGCTCGTCTCCAGTATTCCATTTCTGTTGCTAGTAGTTTCTTCCTGAGGTTATTTTTTAAGGGTCAAGTTTCTGACCCATATGTCATAATGCTCAGTACTATAACATATATCCTTTTTTTTTTTTTGGTCCTCTCCTTACTCGCCTTTGAGGCTATACTGGATTTCCCCGGGCCTGTGGGCGGGAGTTTAAGAGAATCCCCCCGGGTACCGGGACTCGAACTCGTGATTATTTTAAATCCATTGTCTCATATATCAGGTTGCCGGGCAACGGCGGTGCTTCGCACACACGTTTTGCAAAATTTTAAAAGAGTCAAGATATGTTGAAATAAGCGCTACCGTTAAACAAAATGAAACTTTTAACTTTCGGAATGATTTTACATTATATTTTACTTTCTCCATATTTAAAAAAAAAAAAAAAATTGTTCGACAAAGAAACAATCAATTACTTTCTTTATTTAGTGTGTGTATTATGGATAGTAATTTTTTTTTTTTTTTGTACACTCCCTTTGAAAGACCCTGGCCTTAAACAGTGAAATTAGAAAACAATGTTTGTACATTATATATTTGCTAACTTACGTTTGATGTTCAAGTTTTGAAAATTGTTTTCCTGACTTTTTATCTGTGTTTATGACTACAGGCCATAAATTTAACTTTTCATTCTTAATTTTTTTAGATTATTTTGAAGAAATTTTTAAATTTCTTCTTAAACTTCTCGATAATATTCAAATCATTTAAGTAATTATATTTAGAGATGTCTGAGCTCTTCTGGGATTCTTTTTTATCCACTTCATCGACTTCAGCTCGAAGTAAAATATAATATTAAATAATTTTTGGTTGTGGACACAACGAACGTTCTATTAAATATCATTTTTCAAAGTAGTTACGCTTGTCACATCCAGAAAACCAGTCCATAAAATATTCAAAATTAATTTGGCTCTTGTTATTCACGAAGATTCTTTCTTAGAACAGCTTTTATATAATCAAGTATGTTACTTGCCATTAAACTGTCAATCACATGTCTTTAAATCAAAACCTTTTATTGCAGTAATGAAATGCAAATCTCAAGCCGTTGTTATCGATCGAGAAGTAATAAAATAACTTTTAGATAAATCCGGTTAAGAATCGATCCCAGATGTCTTGATCTAAACGTTACCACATCGGTGCGGTGGTCCAATTCTCTCTTGATATCTAGCTTACAACACAATTTATTTCACGAATATTTAGGTCTTTCGTTTGGCAGCCGAGGAGGGTTTATTTTTATAATACCTCCTTGGCATACTGGCATCTCCTCCCTAACCTCCTTGTGGGAGAAAGAAAATCAAAACTTCACATAATAATACTCGGCCGAATAAATTAGCACAGCTTTCTCACCATTTTTAGTTTGTACATGATGAAATACGCATTTATGCATAAAATTTACTAAGATTATGATTATAATTAAGTGTCAATAAAATACTCCAACCAAAAACATGTCTAATAAATGGGGTTATGTTTAAAAACTTATATATCCAACCTCCTATTGTCATATGTTTACTGCCAACCACATTTCGCAGACCTTATATACTTTATAATTAATTTAATGGTTGGATGGATATCGATAAAATTTACTATGGACTATTTGTACATTTCTCAAATATCCTCCAACTAGGCCAAATCGTATGAACCGTTTTTAAAACATAATCTTCATTTTCTTTTTTTTCCTCCTCTTCTTCCTCTGTTCGGCTTTAAGGTGTTTTTCTTGGACCAGAGGACGAAGGATTAATGCCAGAGTTCCCGGCACCTGGACTCGAACACGAAATCAGGTTGCCGGTCACCTCGTTCTCTTACATGAACGAGGAAAAAGCGCTTGCGCATCTTCAAGCTAAAGTAGAGGATGTTGTTTGATATAATTGATACTGGGTTGTTTTTTTACTAATTCCTAACTTTCGTCCAGCTTTTGAGCTTAATCGAACGAGCCATTTTTGATATATAAGCGTATTTGAATTTAGCGTATTTTCGCATCCGGAAGCGGAAATAGAGAATAAAATACGATAACAATGATACGGGACTATCATAGTTCCAAATCGTGCAATTCCTGAAATATTCTTGATAGAAATAAACTGTAATAGGTAATGTTTCCGTTTGTAGCATCGGATTTGTTCCTTGATGTCTAAAACGCGAGTAGAAATTTTCGATTCTGGCACATTTTGTTTAACCTTCTGCACGAATACAAAGCTCTCCTACATCAGTTAATAAGTTAGATTTTACATTCATTGAATTCAAAATGAAATGTAAATATTTGTGATGGCTGTTACAACTATTTAAATCAAATTAGGACAAAGACCGGCGCTACATAAAATGAAATAATAAAAGTATACAAATAACGTCACGTTTGGCGCATGAATAAATAAACGGTCGAAGTTTATCTTTAGCATTAAAACAGATTTTTGTGGTGTATTATAAATAGATTTAATCATTAAGTTATAAAAATATTTATATAGTGAATGTGTATTGTTCACTGAGTTTATAAACTAATTAAAAATTGGAACTGAATTAAGTTTAAAAGATGAGGGGAAATAAAAATCAAGGGATTGGTATAAAGGGCTTTTGTTACTCGAAGTCTTAGAAAAAAATATGTTTGAATAACCGCCATCCCTCTTTAACATTATTAGTATTAAAATCACTAGGAGTATATATTCAGTATAATTGTATGTGCTTTGTTGCTTCTTTTATAGAATACTTTTAACTGCTTGCTTCTGGAGAAGAATAGCTAAGCTGTGGTAAAATTCTTATTTATTATTTACTGAAGGAAAATACCCTTTGGACACACCCAATCTTTGAAAGGGATGTAAGGGGGTCTTCAATAGGATATTGACCGTGGATGCTGTCTTTACCAACTTTATTGTCCAATATTTATAGGTTATCAAAAAGTATACATTTTCGAATAAATAGGGCAGCATCCACTGTACTCCTTACACAAGACCGATGGTATCTTCTTGGAAGGACGGAACTCGACATCCTCAGGACTGCCAAGGATCTTGAAAGTCCCCTTCCTTCCCAAGAAGAGAGGATCCTGAGGTGTACGACCTCAGGGTGCCCCCTCTGGTCGCTGTGACATGAAATATTAATAGTTTCATTGATCATGCGTCGCTTACTATGGTAGTGACTCCAAACCCTAGAACCCTCTCTATTGGCAATAGCGGTTTCTTTATGGAAAGATATGGGTACTAGACAATAGAACATAGTAACAATATATCATTCAGTAAAAAAAGCATCTTTGGAAGTGGTTTGATAAACATGAAGTAGATAGATACATGAATTGGAAGAAGGTCTGAAATTCAAAAGGCAATAATGTCTGGAAGAACTAAATAGAATTCTTTATATAAGATAAAGGACAAGGAATAGCTCAGTGAGTATGATAATATACTTCTATTCTCAAGGCTCTAAGTTCGAGTCCTGCTGTGGAAGACACTGGATTCCTCTCTCTCTCAAGGATCCGGCATTGTAAAAATATTATTTTAATTATCGATCAACTCTGGTGTTGAAAGAACCTCACCTTCGATCACAATCAGGCATGACTTCTCTCTTATGAGTTGAGGTAGACTGTTGAACTTGGTTACTAAGCTCTTCTTTAAAATCTCTTTATAAAAAAAGCTCTATATTTAAGAAATTTAAACATCGAAAAATCGTACATCTATAAAAATCGTAATAAGCACTTCTCGCAAAATCTTTTAAAAAACACTAATCTCATATAGAAAAAAAAAAAACAAATGCAGCCACAATTATTCTTGAAACCAATATATTGCACACACTATATTTTTTTTAGCAAATAGAATATTCTTTATTGGGATATATCAAAATCTGTCACATCTAAGGACAATAGTAATAGTGATATAGGATTAGCTCATTCACGCACTCACTATTTAGAAAAAAAAAGTTAATTTAACTTATTATTATTATTTGGCAACAACTCGTTAACAAGTCTGGTTCACTGTTGCATCTTCTGCAACAGCCTCCATCCACCTCAGGTTACATTTCACCGGTGAGGTTCATTGAAATCAGTAAATTTCAATTTTTTTTCTTTTCACGTGTCCCGTCCAACGTAGTCGCCCAAGCATTTATTCTTTAACATCAGAACTATTGAAGATAATGAAATGAAACATTTTTTGGGGGGAGGAAGGGGACTGAGTCTCCTAAGAATAATAGCAGTTCAAAAATAAGATAGTGTTTAGTTATTGGTTAAGGCATCTTTAAGTGTCTTACTTCCCTACTTTTATAGGTATAAAGATCTTCCATTGTATTTTTGAGTGTGAAGAGATTCCATAGTACATAGGATTGTCGTCTCAAATACCAACAGCTTTCCGTCAGCCATTAAATCTAGTTGAAATAGTGTTTTATATATGATCACCCTAGACTTCTAAGACACGAACCTGATCTTGAATCTGTATTTTCCTTATTATAATTTTAATTTTTTATGATAACTTATAATTAATAATGCTTTTTTAAACTCTGATTTTTAAGTTTCGGGACAACAGCCGCTAGTGTTGCCCAAAAACGGTCTCGGTCTTACACCTTGCAAGACCAAGACCAAGACTACCTAACTGTTGCAAGACCAAGAGCAAGAATGGTAAAAAATAATCGATTTTTTGAATAAAAATCAAGGAAAATAGTTACTAATACTTGACAATTTTAGTTACTATATGTAAAGAATCGGTATAACCAAAATATTTTTGAGAAGGAGTTGATGGGAGGGGGGGGGGGGAGGGTGTGGTCAAATAAATACTAAATTATAGAAATAGTATTATTTAACTTTAAAAAAAAATAATAAACATTACTATTTCTATAATTTAGTATTTATTTGATCGTACCCCTCCACCCACCCCTTCTCCCCCCCTGATCAACACCTTCTCATATTATATCACTGTCAACCATCTCTACATCAAAATATTTTTGCATTTAACTCTTATAATTTTTTATTTGAACTCAGTTAGGTTTCTCCTATCTAAAACTTCACAGTTATATCTCTATAGTAATGAGCTAGTATGTAACTGCAAGACTGTTGTGAGACACTTGCGCAAGACCAAGACTGAGGGCGCAAGACCAAAACTCGTCTTGGTCTCGCATTTGGACAACACTGACAGCCGCTAGCTAAGTAGTTTCGCAACTGAAAAATGAAACAGTAGTATAATATGTTTATAACGAAATATAATTATGTTTCTTCTTCTTCTTCTTTGGCGCTACAACCCGCGTGGGGTCAGGGCCTCCTGTAACAGCAGTCGCCAGTCATTTATATATAATTATGTTTAAGTGTTAAAAATGAATTTTTATAAATTGAAGTTAAAAACGCCTCAAAACTCGGTAACTCAAAACTCTTAAGAGGAGTGAAGGCAGAGCCAGGTGAAGGCCAATGCTAATAGCTGTCAGCCAACCTGTGTGCCACACAGTTTACTTTCATCTACTTTCTAGTTTAGTCATCTAGTAACGGTAGTTGATAGAAAGGTGTGAAAGTGAACTCAACAATGGACACGATCTCAAATTCTATTTAGCGATAGAAACATTAAGAACTATAGTTAAAATCATAAATCACTTTTTAAGAATCCAAGTTATAAAATTCTTAAAGATTTTAGAAAAGTCATATTGGTGAAAAAAAATTATTTTCTCGTGATGAGAAGTATTAACGAATTGAAAACATAAACCATGGGTACCCAAACTATGATACGTTTACGTAAAAACGTTTCAAGTGGTGAGCAAGCAAAAATTGCTCATGCATAAAAATATATCCTAACAAGTTCAATTAAACATGAGATATTTGAAAATATTATTGAATGTATTCATCAACAAACTTGAACTTCAATTTATAATGATAATCCAATATGGCAGTATAGATGAATGGAGTCAGTGTTGAAGGTCTTAACTTGAAAGCCTTAATGCCGTCTTACACGGTCATGTTTCTTGAACAAAGCCGGGGATTGTAGGATATTCCACTTGGTGTGTCACGAAAGTAACATTATTTTGCAACTTTACTTCGAATATTTCATGTTATTCGAGTTAAAACATTGATCAATAAATTACCATTTGTCTTCACATTTAAACTATCGAAATAAGGGGAAATATTTAAAGAAGTGATGGTAAATCTAGAGAGCAATAAAAAAAAAAAAAAAAAAAAAAAATGTATAAGCAACGTAATGTAACAGAATCGCTTATCATTTCAATAAATTTTAAAATTGTCATGGGGCCATCTCCAATATTCATGAAAACAATCTAACGAAAAGCAGAGTCACACTGACGATAACATGATAGAAAACGCAGTAAATTATTTCACAATAGTTTATTATTTCGAAACAATTATACATCTAAAGTAACATTACCTTCCTAGTGACAAAAAAAAGAAATAAGAGGTGATTACAATTAGTGGATTAAACTTTTTTTTTTAATTATTAGTAATTTGCTAAACAAATTAGTATTACATTAGTACACATTCAAAAATCAAATAACAAAACAAAGGATATAACATTTGCAGTAGAACAAATAAAAACTTTTAAATAACCATATAGAATAACAACAGAAAAGTGTAGTTCGTTTAGGCGCTACAGTTTATAGCAACGCAAGTTTTTCGGTCGCTTTCTTGAAAGGAAAAGACGGATAGCAACGTCGGTGAAGGAGGATCATCCTCAAGTGAACTCTAATTTTTTTTTTTTTAAACTTTTATTATGGTATTTACAACTGTATTAGTATGAATACATCAAGTAAATGTGTACAGAGAAATATTATCACATGAAACACGCTTGTTGAGAAACTACCCGCTGGTAGCACTCTAATAATTTGTCTACATGAGAAGATCACGAGGCCATCTCCTTTTCAGACGCCTCGGAGGGTTATCAGGAATCGAAGAGGAAGCAAGGTTAGAAACAAGAGGATTCGGATGGTTATGAAGTTTATTATGGAAGGATAGGTATCTGGATTTGGCCAAATCGGAAACATATGGAACATTGAGGTAACTCTAATTTTAAATCCAAATATGAAAAAATTGGTTCAGTAATTTCAGAGAAAATACGCGGACGGCGGACGGACAAAAAAAATGTATTCCTTTTTCTGCGCATCCTTAAACGCAAAACCTCAAATTTTGAATTCTTTGTTCGATTTCAATAGTTCATTTTTGAAAATAATAAACCAAAATAGAACGATACAAGCCATGTTTTGAAGAACAGCATGTTTCCTAAATATAAGCTGCTATAGTTCGTTCAAAAATGTCCAACATATTGGATCAATTTGGTTACGCCACTTAACGAAACCTTTTTAAACGGTTAAGTATCTGGACCAAAGTGGGTTTAAACAAGAAACTGGTCGAGAAACTTAACTAGTAATAAGGGAAAGGACTATATATATTAAAACTTATTTTTTGGGTAATATAATATTCTGTTCGCATAGAAAATAATCGAAGTGATTCAAAACCACACTCACAGTATATGTACATAAAATAACTACTAAATAATAATTAAAAAGACAATAAATAAATAAATACAATAAATGAAATTAGAAAAACAAAAAAACAAAGGCTTGATAGTATATACACTATTTACAATTAGGCGAGGAAACTCCAGGCTTGTCCCTCCAACTATGGAAGGAAAAGCAGGACTCCAGGAGATCTCTGCTCAACTCTAACTGCATTATTGGTACTAAAGCCAGTTGAGATTACCACGAGTCCAATATAATCATACTTCAAAAGGCCACTGTTTTTTTAACCTTCTTGGAGAATTACAGAGATGGGCGGTGCTAGATTGGGATTGTGCAAGTAGATTTGGATGATATATAAGGTTCTGGTGAAATTTAGATAATTTTTTTTGCGATAAGACCTTAATTATTACCTAAAGAAAATAAGAGAATTTCTTATAACATTTATATACGTATCATTATGTTTGTCAAATAAACTTCTGTTAATTTTTTTTTTTATGAGCATGAAAATGTAATACTAATATCATAAGAGTTGGCCCAGTTGACTGAAACGGTGAATAAAGCCTGGAAGTTTGGTTCAGCGATTTCCACTTCATGCCTATTGGCTAATAGACTTTTGCTAGTTTGTGCATCCTTTATAATTATTCCCATCGATATGGTGTCAAGCAAGCGCTTGCAATGATGCAATCCATTTGCCGGTTCAATTACTCCACTTCTTCCTGCAGTCTTCCAAGAAGCCCTTGACCGGGGAGACAAGGTCCCTGGTTGTGCAACGCCGGGTGTCATAGACGCCGTGCCTTCTCCCAGATATGACAGCCACAGCAAGCCATGCATCAAAAGCCTAGCATTAGGGAACATATGTTCGCTTCTAGGAACTGTGTCTGCTCGCAATTAGTTCAAATAGAACAGATGCAAAGGAATCGGATTGTGCAATATTTCGCGAAAATTTGCTATGAAGTTCTATATTGATGAGGAAGAAATTAGTGTGTAAACTGTTTGTTGAATATTTGATCGTAATATAAATCGAATAAGGTAGTCTTCGAGTTCTTTCTACGCCACATAGACTAGACAAATTATATAATTATAAATTAGTTGTAGGATTACTAATTTCTTACATAACATATTATTATTATTATTAATACATAACATAAAATTTGACATACAAAAATTAAATTTGCAATCTGCAAATTCCTTTGCAATGAGCAAATTTTTTGGCAGCTTCACAGCGTTCCATTACAATCCAGGAAATAGTTCAGTTCAGCAGGTCTCTTGGCCACCGCCTACGTAATTGCCGAGGTGGGCTGTACGGGTTTCTGGTGCTTTTAAGGTTTTCTGTCAGAGGATTTGTGTTGTAAGTTATTCTTTGGTGAAAGTTGTTGTAGTTTATTTTTGCAGTGTCTAAAATTGTTGGGATGTTTAAGTCCGTATGTAATCTATCGTTTGTGACATAAAATGGTGCGTCAACTATTCTTCGTAAAATTTTGGATTGGAAAGACTGGATTTTTTTAATATTAGAAGTTTTAGCAGAACCCCACAGTTCTCTGCCATAAGTCCAAATTGGTTTTAGTAAAACTTTATAGAGGGTTAGTTTGTAAGTCAAAGATAATTTTGAACGTCTGTCAAGTAACCTAGATAAAAGACCGGATCGTCTGTTTAATTTCATACGTAATTTCTTACAAATTAGTTTTAATTATAAATAAAAATTACATATATATTGTTTTTTTTTATTATTTAAATATTTTTATTTTTTCAATGTAATAGAGGCAATGCATAATAAAATAACGTCAGCCAAGTAAGGCCAGTATAGCTTCCTCACCCTCTTCATTAGATAAACAATATCTTTATTTCAAAATCTCTAATTTTTAGTATAAGAATAAAATCTACGGAAGAAGCCGTTTTCGGAAATACAGTAACTCGTCAACATTCGTGGGTATGATATTCACCAATTTTGTTCATCAGCGAATACTAAAAAATGAGTCCACATTTTCAAATCGCGTATTTAATGAACCGCGATTAAAAATAAAACAAAATCTCTGTGCCTTCCACATTTCACAGTCACTACATTGCTAACAGTTATTCATATTAATTTTAATTATTTAATGGAATTTAATGAAATTGGTACTAGACAATTTCTGAACTATTCTCCTCATTTCCTCCAGGTTTGAGTCAAATTGAGCAAAGTTTTCAAACTTCAGGCGTGTCAAATACGTTTACTGATCCGAAAGCGAAAGTATTTTTTCGAGAGTAATGGATAGAATTTGATAAAATTGATACTTACCTAATTATTTATAAACTAATCCCTAACTTCTCTCCAAATTTGAGCTAAATCGAGCAAACGGTTTTAGGTATCGAGGAAAACACGTTTGCTGCTATATTAGAGAAAGTAGACAAATGAATTCAATAAAATTTATATAGAATCATTATTTTACAAAAACCCACCTTTCTTTCAACTTTGATCCAAATCGAATGAGCCGTTTCTGAAATACTGCCCTATGTATGAAAATATATTTATGCGTGCGCAAGCGGATGTGCTGGATGGAATTTAATAAAATTGATATTAGATAATGTAGATACCAACCCGCACAATCGATGAAAATCGGATGAAATGTAGTAGGTGATATGCCCGTCACATCGATTTTACTACAGACAGACAGACGCCGAACCAAACCTGATCTTTGATGACTGAAACGTGAAACACGAGTGGAAATTTTCGTATCTGTGAACAAACTTTTCTCAACCTCTCGAGCGAATACTATGCTTCCCTACCTTCGGTAGTGAGGAAGCTAAAATTGAATGAAAAAAACCCAACTACAGAGATTGAGAATTTCTACCCGTCCAAAAGGAATGTACTTCGATTCCTACTTAAACAACTTGGTAGATTCTTAGAAAAATTGTCGTCTATAAATAATTAAACTTACCAACCCCAAACAAAACTCGACTCTTTTGGACGTTGACAAGTACCGATACACGGGACAACATCTACTTCCTAAGGAAAAGGGTATTTATGAGTTTTTAGTACATAGACAAAGTATGTCCCCCTCCAGATTGAAAACGCCCTAATTCCAAGAGTTTGCGTAAACAAAATAGTTGTAGGTTACGATGAGATGTAATAATTCGATAAAAAGGGATCTGTACAACTGACTAAGTCAAGGTAATGATAGGGTAAGTGATATGTGGTTTATAATACCGGCATCAAATTTCCGATTCCTTATCATGAAAGAATGGTCCAATTTTATATCAATTGCAATTATAAATAAAATATTATAAATCAGTTCATTTTATTAATTTTTAAATCCCTTTTAATTCTTCTATAGGCCTCATTATTATTGTCATTAATATTACAAATATGAGTCCAGATTATTTAATCAGGAAGGCGGTCTCAGGGCACTAATATTCTCATTCTAAACTAGGCGATGAAGCTGAATCTGTACTTTGAACCCAACATAATCACAAGTATTATTTAGAATCACCCATCAACGATCGACTGAGCGAGACACCTCACCTTACACGGTGGGCCAGACCCCCTTACCGTGCACCCCCCTCACATCCCTATAAATTGCATATCGCTTTGTTCCTTGTAACAATTTATTAAAAAAAAGCCAATGTTCCCACAAAAAAAAGTGAACGCACTGCCCCAAAATGGCGTCCAAAGATGGCGGATTGACGACTTTGACTTTAGTTAGTTTTTTGGTCACTGAGAATCAGCATTAAGCTTAATTTCCTCATAGTTGGTCTTTTATTAAAGCTGAATAGCTATAGAATAATAAAACATGAAGAAATATTAAAAAATAATTGGCTAAGGCTATGAAAAACACAAGTAAAGTCAATTCAACAAAAAAATTTTCAAGTTACAAATCAAACGTCGTTTGTAATTAAACGGCCTACAATAACGCAAACCGTGCTGAAATAAACCATCTGGAGAATATATTTCTCTTTCTGAAACGCTAATTATTTTTTACAAATGTTTAAGTAGTTCCGTAAAAAATGCACTTATGCGGCAGAAAAGCGGTACTGGCGTGGGTGCCTACAGGCCTCTACCACACCATTCAGTGCCCATAAATGGCTTAGTTATAGTGATATAATAACATTTTTGGTACATTATATTGGTTTTATTAACGAACAAATATTAATGCAATAATTTAATAGTAAAAAAAAAATTTAAATTTAAAAAAAAAATTTATTACTATTTTTTTAAATTTTAACCTCCTTTATTCTATACGTAGGTCGTTTAAGAATACCTCAATTGTAAAAATGGTATAATTATAATAATAAAACTTAACTAAAAAATATTTTGCTAAATATCTTGATTTTTTTTTTATTTAACGTTTGCAATTTAACAATATGTTTTGAATATTTACTGATTCTTAGAAGTAATTAAAATTTTTATATACTTCCCAGGAAATGAGTCATATTCATACCTTTTTTATAAACTAAAATAATATATACCTAATCTGAACTATATATAATGAGTAGCTACCGGGTTGTTTAGTAAAACTCATATATCACTAATTAAAAAATTAATTTTTATTTCCTTTATTTTGTGCAGAAATTGGACTATATCATAAATAAATATGAAATTTTAATATTGAATGAATTATTCTCTATGCACAAAGAAATATATAAAGGGTGACCCTATAAGTTCTTCTATAAACCAAAACTGATTGTTTGGATTTGATCTCAAAGTGAGGAAAAACGTGAACTTAAACGAGAAAATTGGAAAAATATATTAAACGAACAAGAAAGGAAGTGCCAAAACCTCGGAATAGATAAAATGGACCTGTATCCATTATATAGCTAAATGAATGTATAGTAGATAGATGAACAGAATATTTCAAGATGCTGCTAAAACGGGATCAATTGCAGTTTGGATGATATTAAGTGGACGATGTAGGTTTATTATGGTGAAAACCACTTTATTTTCGATTGCTGAAGGTGCACATCGGGACTATATTAACTTTGAAGCAGGATATAGAGAGGTATATCGAGAAAGTTATAGCTCATAGCTTTCCTTCTGTTTAGTGGATTTTCAAAAGATTTTTTTTTTTTTTTTTTTTTTCGCATTTTGGGGCAGTGCGTTCACTTTTTTTTGTGGGAACATTGGCTTTTTTTTAATAAATTGTTACAAGGAACACAACGATATGCAATTTATAGGGATGTGGGGGGGAGGGGGGGTACACGGTAAGGGGGTCTGGCCCACAGACTACCTCTGCTTAGTTCAGGGCATATACTGCTGAGAGAGATTATATTATCGCCACTGACACACGGCCCACGCAAGGTGTCGCTGTCGGAGTTGGTTCCAACTTAGTTTCCCTCAGCTAGTAAGTATAAGTTATTTCTGAAATATGAATACACTTGAAGTTTCTCAATACAGAATGACAGTATCTTAAATATGGTTATTCTGAGCTAAGCTAGGTACCCGACAAGAATATAAAATCGTTTATGTTTAGCGATTAGAAAATTATAAAAAAATGTCACTTTAATAAATTATCTGAAATTTAATTGTAGATAAAAATTAAAGGTCGATGGGATACTTCTAAAATATTAGAATATTTCGGATCAGCTGAGTAACAAGAACATAAGGCCGATTACATACATTCTTCGGCTACCACTGAATTCTTATGTTAAATTCTGTGAACTAGACTGAAACGACAAGAAACCTCTCGACGTTTCCGATTACTTCAGCACTTACTAGACAAACGCTCTAAACTTTCAATTAATTACAAAAGACTCATATGCATGACTATAATAAGGTCTATTAGGACTTACGGAGTTGAGCTATGGGGCTCCACTAAACCATCTAATTCCTCTCGTATCCAATCCTTACAATCCAAAATCCTTCGTAAAATCCTCAATGCTCT